TTTCCTTCATCATATTTGATAATCTTGTATAAACCTTGGATTTGAAGCAAATCATTTAGCTAAATAAAAGGTCGGTAGAGATTATTTCAAACACAAGAATCTAATAAACTCATTTCATCTTAGAAGAAGGATTTATGAGATAAAAGAGTAGGTAATTAGCAATCGAGATACATTAGATTATTGTTATTTGTGATAAGGGTTTGTTGGAATTCAGGTGAATGCAGTGTCAAGGAATAGTAATTTTTTGTCCTACTCACACAAAATAAATAAAGCATAAATAGGGTACTTGATCAACTGAAAATATTGGCAACAAAGCTGGAAGCACTTTCTAAGGTGATTTTCTTTTCCCTATTTATTTGTGTGCCGGAGTTAGGTTCCCCTCCCATTGACCTCAAGACTTTCCTAACCCAACAAAGAATGAGAGACAATTATAATAATGGTTTTTTTTTTTCCTTTTTTCCTTTTTTTTTTTTTATTGAAAGGCCAAGTGCCTGCTCACTTTCAACTCCCACCGTGAATAATTGCTAGTTAAAATAAAGGCAGTGGTACAAGAATAAATTTTTTTATATAATTATTTTTATAATTTTTATATATTATTAAATAAGTAAATATATTTAATATTATGAGTTTTAAATAAATAAATAAAATTAATTATTCAAATGATATATAAGATTACACAAAAATATAATACAAAAAAATTATTTTTGAATCATTTTTCTTAAAATAATAAAATATTGTTGGCGTGTGCTAGTGATGTAGAGCAATGAATCAATAGTGGAGATGATGTGAAGGTTGACTAAGATGACACCCGAGAGAATGAGAAGGGTCCTTTTGACAACACTCGTTTCACGTGCAAGAGATTACATGTCACGGGTCGCCCCATTTTGTTCAACGATATTGGTCAACAGCAAACCCTCCAACAAAATATGAAAGTATAAATTTTCTAACCAAATCAAGAAGAAGAGAGCTAGGCAAGGATGATGAAGTTCCAAGAGCCAGGAATGATTACACAACTATTAAAAATAATGAAAATGAAATGTATATTGCTATAGTTGCAGCAAGGATGATAAATATATGAAGGTCAAAGATTATACCTTGAGAAACACATTTACACATAGAATATTATAACGTGATAATAATGACAATAAATATGTCATCTGTTATCCCTTACAAATATCCCCACTCTGTAACGAACAACTCTCATGTTGCAAATGTAAAATATAACAATCTCTCCCTTAAAGCTTTCTCAAGAACAAAAGAGATAAACTTGAAAGTGGTGATGGAAGAATCAAGGATGACCGTTTGGGGGTTTATGAGTGAAGTGACTTGATCGTCTTTTTAATGTTAACCTTGCAACTTGATCCACTAATACTCAAGAAAAATTACCTAAAAGTTGAAACTAAAGCATGTTGCCTCCCAACCACAATGTTTTGCAAGTTTGAAAATTATTCTACAGTGCTGGAAATGTAGAAAATATGAAGAAAGTGAGGATTTCTGGGTAATTTTGATGTGTAGGGTAAGAGGTTGAAGATGAAGGATTCTTTTAAAGGAGAAATGGGAGTTTGGTTGGTGAGAGGGAAGCTAGAGTTGTGAAAATCTGTTCTTCTCTTACAGAAAAATGAAGAAAAAATAATATAGATATGTGCAGTAGTATTTTTGTAATTTTTGATTGATGGATCAAAAGTGTACAGTGACCTAATAGGTAGATTTGGGTGAGCTGTAAAACTATGAGTGGCTTTGGGTATTGCTAACAGCTTTTTGGCAGTGATACAAATCCAAAAAGAAATTTTAAATTAACATATATGACTTGTATGAATATTAAATTATTTAATTTAACAATTAATTTCTAAAAATATTAATTATAGAATTACTTTTTAAATAAATCTTATTAAAAATAAATAAAAGAACAACTAGTATTACAATAAGCCTTAATTCAAAAAGAAAATTTTTAATCTATACCTTAAGGTACAAATTTAATTTCATTAAATGTACTATCTTCAATTAATTCTGCATAAATTTTTATATCAAATGCAATTAAGATAAAATGTAAAATCAAAATATAATACAATATTTATATTCAAAATTTATAAAAAAAATATAAATTTAATATAAAAATTTATGTAAAATTAATTATAAATTTT